CCCCCCGCCCCTTCTCCCCCCTGCCCCACAAGCCCTGCATTTGGCCATTCACATTGTTTTTTCAGATGCGAATGAATGTGAGGGCAAACCCTGTGTCAATGCCAACTCCTGCAGGAACCTGATTGGCAGCTACTATTGTGACTGCATTACTGGCCACAACTGTGATATAAGTAAGTGTCCATATCCTTGGATTTATTAAAGGCCAGTTGTGTGTGTGTGTGTATATGTATGTATGCCATGGAGTTCTAAGCCCAGATTTAAACATCGGGCAGAGTCCCAGAGGTTGATGTTTTTAGAAAGGGAGTAGTTGGTGTGGAATGAAAATACACTATTTTATCAAACTCATTAGTCCATAACATAGCTATATTCTGATAAAGTGACTAAAACAATGATGTGAAGTTTCACTGCCTCTAGTAGAAGAATCGCGAAAAGTTCCCACCCATTATAATAACCTTATCTCAAGGAAGGCATGCAGGAAACTTGACAAAAGGTTTATCTAGCTGCAGTTTTAGAGAGACTTGAACTCTGTATCTAGTGTAAATATATTTTCGCCTTCTAACCACGCTAATTTTATTACAGATATTAACGACTGTCGTGGACAATGTCAGAATGGAGGATCCTGTCGGGTGAGCCATTCTTGTTTTATTTTGGTTTCCCTGAGACTTGCAACAGTAACTAAAACATTTGAGCCTAAACACAAATAGTGTGGAAAATAGCAATTAGCTGGTACAAATTGTCATTTCTTTGAGTTGGGGGGAGGCCCTATGTCATGCTACAGCATGTCGGGGTATGTGTGTAGAACAGCAAGGGCAAAAAATATAACTGCAATAAATGACTCATTTTCACTGCCAGCGTCACCAGTGAATGGGCTGGTGGTTGTGCAAACTACCTACTGTAAATGTGGATTAAGGTATCCTGCCTGGAAATTAAGAATGTAAGCCTGTACTGGTGTGTTTGTATGTTTGTTTATTTTCCCGCCCTAAATATTCTTGCTTTGTTTGGACATAGTAAAAGGATATATTTTTTTGGACTGTGTCTTCTTTTTTTATGGTTTTTTTTTTTTTTGGTTGGTTGGGTGGGGTTTTTTGTTTGTTTTGGTTTAGGTTTTTTGGGGGCTTTGTTTGTTTTTTTTTTTAATAAGAATCTATCAAGAGGGAGGAAAAAACCCTTAACTCTAAACTTTCTTGTTCCTTCCCAGGACTTGGTTAATGGTTATCGGTGTATCTGTTCACCTGGCTATGCAGGAGATCACTGTGAGAAAGACATCAATGAATGTGCAAGTAACCCTTGCATGAATGGGGGTCATTGCCAGGATGAAATCAATGGATTCCAATGTCTGTGTCCCGCTGGTTTCTCAGGAAACCTCTGTCAGGTAAGAAGCATGGGTGAAAGGCAGGCCCTCAGCCAGTGGCGTTTCTACCCGCGCTCGGGATCTGTACACTGAATGCCTTGCATCCAGTGAACCATAGTATAAAGTTGTACTTGATATTGCTGTCAGTCTGCCAAGAAAGTGCTTGATTAATGTATATTGAGGGGAAAAAAGAAACCAACAAAAAACTCTGACAGGCTGCTGAGGATTCTTTTTGTTAAACAGACCGCAAGTGTTTGCGTGTCAGGTTTTGTTGCAAACTAACTATTAACTTTCAGTGGCTGTTTAATATCAAGAGTGCTGTCTGCTGAAATAGTTGCAAGTCTAACTAAACTCTGTGCATTATGAACAATTCATTGAGGCAGCAGATAAAAAGGTCAGATTCCACAATGTCTGCCTGTCGTAGTGAGGGAAAGCTATGATAAAACTTCTGTTTCACTCAGCCTTCCCCACCCACCCCCCTTTTTTTTTTTTCCCTCCTTATTTCCCTTTCCTCTCTCTGTACTACTTACAGCTGGACATAGATTATTGTGAGCCAAATCCTTGCCAGAATGGTGCCCAGTGCTTCAATCTTGCTATGGACTATTTCTGTAACTGCCCCGAAGATTACGAAGGGAAGAACTGCTCCCACCTGAAAGATCACTGCCGCACAACTCCTTGTGAAGGTTTGTGTTACCTTGCAGGTGAATGGGAACGACTGACAATAGTTTCTGCCCCTCCTCTGGCTGAAGCCATAATGCAGCTCCAAGAGTGTAGTCAGTGGAGTAGTCTTTGTATAAGGAGGCTGAATTTTGCCCTGTGTCTTAGGCCTCTATTTGTGTGAGAAGATGAGTACTATTTGTAAATATCAGCTATTTGAAAGACAGCGTTATGTCAACGTGGACGGAAAACACATGTAGCGAATAGCCTGCTTTGCTGAATTTATTCCAGGCCACGGATGTGGTCCAGCAACCTTCAGATAAGATGCTGTGGCTATTTTATGTACAAACACTTGGTATAGTCCTTTTATTTTAAAGCAGCAAGCATATTTGGCACTTAGGTTTACGGTTGGACTTGATGATCTTAAAGATCTTTTCCAACCTAAATGATTCTATGATATGTATGTCTCTTAAACATCCATCACTGGAAATTAAAATGTTGCTCTTAGCTTAAGAAAGCAGATAGAATGGGTAATCCTCATGCAGGTCTCTGCTTTTTCTGCAGTAATAGACAGCTGTACCGTGGCAGTAGCTTCTAACAGCACACCGGAAGGGGTTCGTTACATTTCTTCAAATGTCTGTGGTCCTCACGGAAAATGCAAGAGCCAAGCAGGTGGAAAATTCACCTGTGAATGCAACAAAGGATTCACTGGCACCTATTGTCACGAGAGTAAGAGCTAAAAAGATAACACGTTTTACTGTCCCCTACTCTTTCTGGAAAAAGACTCCATCCTTTCTTCCCAGACTGCTTTAAGGTTTCTTTCTTGTAACACAGTGAACCTTGGAACTGCTTTAAGTTTTCATATCCCGCTTGGGCGAGGCAGATTGGAATTTGCTAGGCCTTGGGGAAAGTTCACAGTAATGAACCTTCTGGCCTTGAATTGTATGTTTTTAAAAACCTTATGTATACAAGGTCTGAGGTAGTTAATAGTGGGGTTTTACATGGGTCTTAAGGACTCCTGATTTTATTTTTGTTTTTAATAGTAATTGTTGAGTGACAGGCTCATCACTTTGTGCACTGTTTTTCAGCTATGTCTCATCTTGCTTATAACCCTTCCTCTCAAAGGGGCTTAGAAATGGAAGTAGCATCAAATAGTCTGCAATAAGATGATGACCACTAGTAGCTGTACTTATAGTTTGATTTTTTTTCCCCTCTCCCCCTCCCCCCCTTCTTTTTTTCACCCCTCCCCTCTCTTCCAAACTGTTGCAGATATTAATGACTGCGAGAGCAACCCCTGTAAAAATGGTGGCACTTGTATCGATGGCATCAACTCCTACAAATGTATTTGTAGTGATGGATGGGAAGGAACATATTGTGAAACAAGTAAGTTAACCGTTCTTCAGCACGCAGAAAGATCTCTTGGAAAAACATCGGGAAGGGATGGCTGGTGCTGTCTTTAAGACGATAGCGACTAATGCCAATTCAACATGAAGTCTGCTTCAAAGGCCGCAGAGGACGAGGGGTCCTCTTTTTTCCACTGAGTCCCAGGCTTTTGTATTGGAACTAAGCCCAAGTTATGAAGCTGGAATGGGAGTAGAACCTGGCTCTCCTACGGTTCAATTTTCTGCTCTACCCTTTGGATAACTTTCTGTAAGAAACCCTTACCATTAGCACACACCATTTTAGGAAATCGCATATCTGCATACCACACTTGTATTTTGTCAGTCTCAGGAATAAAAGAGTGAGCGCTTCGGCTCCCATCCTCTGATAGGATAGTTTATGTAATAGGCTGTTTCACTTCTTGTTTACTGAAACAAGAAGACAAACAAAATGAAAACAAACTGGAGGAATGTGGTGGAATATTCTTCATCTCTGTGACAGCGCTTAAAGCTTTAAAACACTGTCGTAAGTGTTTAATCTATGATTGAAACACAGGCCAAAACTAGGGATGGGACATGCACCTTTCAAGCATTAAGTGTTTGTCAATTCTGTAAACATTGCTTAGCTTGTTTTCTCTCCTTAACATATCTAGATATTAACGACTGCAGTAAAAACCCTTGCCACAATGGAGGAACTTGCCGAGACTTGGTCAACGACTTCTTCTGTGAATGTAAAAATGGGTGGAAAGGAAAAACTTGCCACTCCCGTAAGTTCAGCATTTCCAAAACATAACAGGCGTGCTCTGTTAGGCTGCTTAAACTTCTTGCATTGCGTTAAGAAAGCACTGGTATTAAGGATAGTTTGGGTTCTTCACAGGGGACAGTCAGTGCGATGAAGCAACATGCAACAACGGAGGAACGTGTTATGACGAGGGGGACACTTTCAAGTGCATGTGTCCTGCAGGATGGGAAGGAGCCACTTGTAATATTGGTAAATACCCTGCATAATCACCAGGAAGCAGATGCAGCACTGAATCTGTGACCTCAGTTTTTCCTCTTGGCTCCGTTTTGACGGCTTTCTAACAACTGAGCGGCAAATCTTGTTTCTGTTACAGCGAGGAACAGCAGCTGCCTGCCAAACCCCTGTCATAACGGTGGTACCTGTGTAGTCAGCGGCGATTCTTTTACTTGCGTCTGCAAGGAGGGCTGGGAAGGACCCACGTGTACTCAGAGTAAGTCGTCTCTGCTTGAACTTTTCCAGAGTGTTGCGTGATGAGAACATTAGCTCATCCTGTCGCCCTTGGAGTCAAGATTGAAACCAGAAGGGAAAGCTTGTTTGATGTAGGCTTTAGCATCACCTGAATCTTTGTTTTTAATGACTTTATGTGATAGAGCCTTGACCTGGGCCTGAGAAAGTTGCAAATGAGCTAAGTGGAGACAGATGTTGTCTTATTTTCTCCCGCATTCTTTTTCTACGAGCAGCTCTGTCTGCTTCCACGTGTTTTTTTTTTTTTTTTCCCCTGTTAGATTCTTTACAACGATCTCTTCCTGTGTACATGTGTTCCACAATGTACTTAACAAATTTTGTGGTAGAAGCCTGGAATCAATTTAGTAGAGAATTTCAGCATATTTTTGTTAAAGTTGAGCTAAGTGTAACTTGGGCATTAGGGGAAGTTTGATCGTTCTTTACTGACAGTAGAGTTGTGTTAGCCAAAGTCTGCATATTTAATGTTGTCTGTCTTTGCTTTGCAGACACAAACGACTGCAGTCCTCATCCTTGGTAAGTTTAATATGTTTATCTTTCATCCTTTGCTTTTTTGGTTGCTTTAGAATTCTAGATTCTTTTTATCTGTAGCAGTTTTTTAATGTGTATAATGACTTTTCTTTATAGTTATAATAGTGGCACTTGTGTGGATGGAGACAACTGGTACCGCTGTGAATGTGCTCCAGGCTTTGCAGGTCCTGACTGCAGGATCAGTAAGTGTTTCAGTGGCACTCTACCTTGATTTTTGTCTCGCTTGAATCTTGTTGTGAGACAATCATCTTAATTGAGTTAAGTGGTAGATCAGATTAACGATAGATGTCCTGTGTCTTCTGTATCCGTACCCAGATCTGTAGCAGATGTGGGGAGGGCAGGAACTGCACTGAAAACTGAAAGAAATCTTAAAGTCCATTCAGCTAGAGCTGAAACCCCTTGGTTCAGCTGAGTGGGCAAAATGCCCTTCAGGACAGTCTTCCCAGTTAAAGTGTGTTTGTGTGGCATAGGTTTCTGCCTGAGATGAAAGCGTGCCAGCCAAAAACCTTGTCAATTAATAATCCACCTACAAGCCCTGAGGTGATGTATGCACTTCCCTGTAATTTAATAATAATTACAGGTAGGAGGACACTAACACTTTTTTTTTTTTTTTTTTAATAACAGCCATGGAAATAGAAGTTTCATAGTAGCAATACAGCTGGAAAGGGGTTTAACATTATCATCGGTTGAAGAATCTAGTAGGGGGACAACACTGGAGTGTGTCAAAGGAGAGGAAGTGTGTTTGTGTGAGAAGGAATGTGTCCTTGCCCTTGAAAAGCTTAAGTAGCCATAGGGGTCAGGTTTTGATCTTTGTTAGTGCCACACAGCAGAAACTTCAAAGAACTTGCTCTGAGACTATACCGGTGCTGCTAGTAAGAATCCATCTCCGAGTAGACACTAGAAAATGAACATAAAGCATCTGGCAAGTCTCCCATATGTGTTTTCTGACAAAATAAAAGGATACTATCGAGAAACTCTCTTATTTCCTCTCCTTCCCATCCTAGATATCAACGAATGCCAGTCTTCACCCTGTGCCTTTGGAGCTACGTGTGTAGACGAAATTAACGGGTACCGTTGCATTTGTCCACCGGGTCGTAGTGGTCCAGGATGCCAAGAAGGTATTCCAGGTCTCATAGCTGGTCATAGTGCTTGTAGCAAGATCTGTATAACTGCATGTTAACAGGTTTGTGGTTGTATGGGGTTTTTGGGGGGTGTTATTTGTTGTTGGTTTAAAACAAGTGTCTCTATTGAAGAAGCAAACTTACCACTAAGTTTAGATGAACTTAGGGAAGGGGGTTTTTTCCACTTTTTTTTCCTATTTTAAGTTTATAATTCTGTCCAATCTCCCTTCAGTTACAGGAAGGCCTTGCATTACCAGTGTTCGAGTAATGCCAGATGGGGCTAAGTGGGATGACGACTGTAATACCTGTCAGTGTTTGAATGGAAAAGTCACCTGTTCTAAGGTACAGCTGTGCTGTGGTTTGGGTTATACTTTTGGGTCTTCTGTCCTGTAACCGGTGGTTGCTTATCGGTTTTTATTCTCTTCCAGGTTTGGTGTGGTCCTCGACCTTGTGTCATACATGCCAAAGGTCATAACGAATGCCCAGCTGGACATGCCTGCGTTCCTGTTAAAGAAGACCACTGTTTCACTCATCCCTGTGCTGCGGTGGGTGAATGTTGGCCTTCGAATCAACAGCCTGTGAAGACCAAATGCAATTCTGATTCTTACTACCAAGACAACTGTGCCAACATCACCTTTACCTTTAATAAAGAAATGATGGCACCAGTAAGTAGCAGAACATAGCTCACGGCAAGCTGCGGCACACACGTGCTCGCTTCCCAGAGCATGAAACAGTTTTTTTGACTGGTAAAAGTACAGTAAAAGCTGACACCCCCTTATTATCAAAGAAAACAGAAGGTATAGAAGGATTAATACAGACTTCTACCCTAACTGCTTTTGTGTCCAGAGAAGAACAAAAGCTGATTTGGAGGGAAGTCCACCTCCTCTTCCCTTGAACTCTTTTATTTCAGGGCAGAAAAATAACTTCTTATATCTGTGTGTTCGTGTGCATATGTATTTAAAAGGGAAAAAAACCACCACCTTTTTTGTATCCTCCAGGGACTTACCACAGAGCACATTTGCAGTGAATTGAGGAATCTGAATATTCTGAAGAATGTTTCTGTTGAATATTCCATCTATATTACCTGTGAGCCTTCACACTTGGCAAATAATGAAATACATGTTGCTATTGTAAGTATTCCTGCAATATTTTTAAATGTCTTAGTAGTTGATTGCTTGGATATGTGTGCAACACGTGGATTTCATACAAATCTTGATCCCTGGCTTTGTCAGCACTTCTCGTGGTTTAGTTTCCATCCCAGTTCCCTTTAAGAACAGGGAAGAAATCCTGGTTACATGAGCATACCTGAAAGTGACCGTCTGGTAGCAACTGTAACAGGGCAGTAAAACATTCTTCTGTCATGCTTTCTCAAGCACCGCTTTTGGGGTTGTTTGGGGTTTTTTGTCATCTTTTTAAAGATGGGGACAGAAATTCTGCATTATTAGTTTCTGCCCATAGCTGGGCTTTTTGCTTGTTTCTGTTTTGTTTTTTAAGTATTATAAAAGTACCGAGAGCCTTAACTGATTGTGAAAGTTTGTAAATAGCAGATTACCCACGCATCTGATCTGGCATTTGGCATTAATTGGTGACTTCTCTTGCAGTCTGCAGAAGATATAGGGGAAGATGAAAACCCAATCAAAGACATTACAGATAAGATTATTGACCTTGTCAGTAAGCGCGATGGTAACAACACACTAATTGCTGCAGTCGCGGAAGTCAGAGTACAACGGCGACCGGTTAAAAACAAAACAGGTAAGCTTTTCCTTGTCTCCAAAAACGCGTACGCTTGCCGTGACTAGAAAAGCCTTCCAAAGCGGGCGAAGCTTTTCTCACTTGAGATTTGTAGGAAGTCTGAGAACCTCTGCCTCTTGGCCCTCTTAACTGGGAACAATAAGGAGGCTTTGCACCAGGATCCTATTACTTTAAAAAAAAAAAGTTCTGAAAAATGCTCTAAAACAGTGGCCTAACCTGTTAAAAGGGCTGCTACACTTCAGCCCTCTTTATGGAGAAATAAGGAAGAAGAAAGCTGGAGAGGTCACGCTGCAGGGCTCTGAAAGCTCCCGCGTGTTTACCTGGCAATGCCACTGTCCAAACGCGATGAATTAAAGGTTGAGGTCAGAAGCGTCCGTGAGCCGTCCACGCAGGCCAGGCGTGCGCTGGCATCCTGCTGACGGCCAGCAGCGGGGGGAGAAGTGCCTGCAGTGGGTACGGAGCCAGTTGCCCTCAGGCCGGGAGATGTTCCCTCTGAGCTGGGAGCCGCGGCAGGGCAGTGTAATGAAGCCTGCGTTACTGTTGCCTGCGGTGACTTGGCTCTGTGCGTAAGAGGAAGACGTTTCGAGCCCTAAACTCGCTTTAAACGCCCTGTATTCTGAAGGAGCCAGGATTATGTTACTGTCTGGACCCCAGTGAAAAAATGAGGCTTAAGAACTGAGATTTGTTTTCTTTGTAGAAAGCCTTGACTGGAACGCTTGTTTTGCAGCAGGGTTAACTGGTCTCGTATCTCTTCCAGATTTCTTGGTGCCATTACTGAGCTCGGTCCTAACAGTGGCCTGGATCTGTTGCCTGGTAACTGTTTTTTATTGGTGCATTCGAAAGCGCAGAAAGCAGAGCAGCCATACTCACACGGCGTCTGATGACAACACTACCAACAACGTAAGGGAGCAGCTGAATCAGATAAAAAACCCCATTGAGAAACACGGCGCAAATACTGTCCCCATTAAAGACTACGAAAACAAAAACTCTAAAATCGCCAAAATAAGGACGCACAATTCAGAGGTGGAGGAAGACGACATGGACAAACACCAGCAGAAGGCCCGATTTGCCAAGCAGCCAGCATACACTTTGGTAGACAGAGATGAAAAGCCCCCCAACAGCACACCTACAAAACACCCGAACTGGACAAATAAACAAGACAACAGAGACTTGGAAAGTGCACAAAGCCTAAATAGAATGGAGTACATTGTATAGCAGACAGCGGGGTGCTGCCATGCAGGGCCTTTAAGTATCATTATAAAGGCACTCGAGAGCTTGTAGTTCTTCAACTGTTGTGTAATATTTGAGTCTAAGGCTATTATTTACTTAGAATCCCTGTGTTAATTTAAGTTTTGACAAGCTGGCTTACACTGGCAATGATAGTTGCTGTGGTTGGCTGGAATACCAAGTGCTGCATTTCACATCTATGCAAAACTAGTCAAAAGTGCCCTCTTGTAAATTCAGCTGTAGCTGATACATCATGGAAACGTTTCATAAGGTATTACATAGCCTTATTACTCTTCTGGAATGTTAATTTTTTTTTTTCTGCCAGATGTCCCAATTTATACAGTTTCTTTAGAATAATACATTTTATTTATATTTATTGAATTTGAGTTTTTTGTATATTGGTTTTATGGTGACGTACAACTAGTTCTGTATTTGAAAGTGCCTTTGCAGCTCGGAACCACAGCAACTATCAAAAATAAGTTTATTATTTATTTTTTTATTGTATTTTTGTTGGGGGCGGGTGGGGGGAACTTGTCAGCAGTTGCTGGTAAATGAAGAATTTAAAGAGGAAAATGTGTCAAAAATAGAAGTTTGTATAGATATGTAAATAATTCTTTTTTATTAATCACTGTGTATATTTGATTTATTAACTTAATAATCAAGAGCCTTAAAATATCATTCCTTTTTATTTATATGTATGTGTTTAGAGTTGAAGGTTTTTGATAGCATTGTAAGCTTGTGGCTTCTCTATTTTGAATTTATTTTCTTGTTACATGTTGCCTATATGCCAAAACTAAGGTGTTCTAAAATAGTTTATTTTTAATAGGATGGGCTTTCATGCCTTGATGCTGGTTTTTGTACAATGTCAAACGTTTGAAACACCTTCCATAGTATCACTTTAAGACTATTTGTAAGTACTGACTGAGGCAGTTTAGATAATTAGACTAGAAAATTTTTTTTGCTGCTTTAGACTTGAAAAACGAGTGACAGGCAGATAATCTGCTAAGAAGCAGTTTAAGGGAACAAAACTGAGCTATTACTTTATGTAGATGAAATGTGAGTGGTTGCATGTAATTAAAATATCAAATTAGCGTGTGAAGTTGGAAACACAGCAATCTTATTTTGTAAATCCTGATTTTTTTTTTTTTTCTCACCATGAATATGTAATACTGAACCACTTGTAGATTTGACTTTTTTTGTAATCTACTGCATTTAGGGGAGTATTCTAATAAGCTAGTTGTTGAATACTTGAACAGTAGAATGTCCAGTAAGATCACTGTGTAGGTTTGCCGTAGATTACACTGCCCGCCTTAAGAAGTGAGGAAATCAAAGTGCTATTACGACGTTTAAGATCAAAAGGCTTATAAACATAGCAATCTCGGTGGTTAACCATTGAGATCAGGAAGATACCTTGTATTGTGATATTAGTGTTATATGAAAATACATCTTTGATGTGTTGTTCCTGGCAATAAATCTTGAAAAGTAATATTTATTAAATTTTTTGTATGAAAACATAAAAGAGCGTGGAGATTATTGAGCGTGGAGGCACTCCCGACTAGTTAGCTGTGCAAAAACAGGGGCAGGTGCCGGTTTACGTTTCCAGGACCTGCCACTGATTTCGGCGGAGTCAGTTTTTTGTTAGGTGAGTACACGTTCCCCTCTGGCTCTGAATCAAATGGAAGGGGTTTGGAAGCAGCGTGTCCCTTGTTCCCAGTGTCTTTCGGCTAACGTACCTCCCTGTACTGCCGAGAGGATGACGATGTGACTGGCGTTGTGCAACGAGTTTACTCCGCGTGGGCCAATGAGCTACCGCCAGATAGTAACCAAATCTAAGGAGCTAGGCAAGATACAAACTGCTGACCTGGATGGGAAAGGATCCATAGATGAGACTGATTTCTAATGGGCAAAACGTGCTTCGTAAAGCATAAAATAAACTCTTAAAATATTCAACACAACGGCTTTTAATGCGTAACTAATGCAGCCCCTCCCACCTACAAGGGGCTGTTAGCTCTCTGACAGTCTTACTTTAGCACGCTTTCCTGGGGAAGCTGCAGACTTGTTTTGGTAAGGTGCAAGTACAGAGCTGAAGGAACAATTAACAGTGTAACTAACTCAACTGAAAAATAATATAAAATAGGGTCAGGCTGCTTCTTGCACTTCAGCTTAAACCAACCCGCTGCAAGGTTAGGCCACCTCATCCATGTTTTGTTTGCAGTAAATACAGATACTTTATATATAAAGATTGCTGAGGTATGAATACAATGAACACTTAAAAAATCTGATGGCAAGACATACTCTGTTCTGTACCTTCTTTACAGCTATCTAAAAAAAAAAATGGATAAAAGCTATTCAGTGTTACTTTTTATTTCAAACTCGCTGTAAAAGGAGATTTCTAACTTGTCGCTACACTACGGTGAAAGGGGGACTGCTCTTACTCTTCACAGTCACATGCCGCATAACTTACGTACCGGAGAATCATCAGTTTACTGCCTGCTGAATGGGAAGTCAACAAGATTAGCTTCATCTGACCACTCCAATAATTCCTTGTCAAACAAATCCCACGAGTATTTATTTCCCTTTGTTCCCTGACTTCTACAATCTGCAATAAACAAACACGTCATGGCTAAAGAAGCCACTTAAAGATAATAGAATCTTCCACCTGCCCCAGAAACACAAAGGGAGGCTATTAACCGAATGCTTTTCCGTACTTTCGATGTTGAATTAACCATCTTCCTCAAGTCTACTGCTCACGTAGGTCTCAAATTCAATGATGCAGAAACCAGTTACCGCTTCTAAATGACCGAAACGTTTATACCTGAATTTGTAGGAATAAATCTGAGCCTGCTTTCCATTAAGCAAAGGCAAAAAAAAAAAAAAATTAGGGCTTTTGCTAGTCCTGGGAACATGTATTTGACAGGCTACTTTGAAACCTACTGAGGCAAATTCTAATTGCAGACTTAATCATTTAACACAGTGACAAAGCTGTTTCAATCTCCGAAGACTCATTGTAGAGCAAAACCTGGGTTCCTCAAGGTTCAAAACTTGTCAAAGCCTTGAGCGCAGTATTCGTTTCTTTCTTTCCAGCCTTTGCTGTGCTACAAAGTACTGTACTGACCATGCGGAGGTTCTGCTACTGCAGAGTTTCTCCATACACAACTTATTTTTCCCATATAACTCATTTCATCGCTACCTCATAGTGTTACAAAATCAGAGCTGCCCAAGTTGTACAGGGGGAGCGAAGAGAATTCCGCGAAATTGCTATGATGGTATTTTTAAATTACATCCTCGTATCTCAGTGGTAGCTTCAAAATTTACACAGGTGAATTTAAAACAAAACCAGTCTTCCAAAGCCCAAAACCACCACCAAGCTGGGGGCTCCAATATGGAGTGTTTTTCGTTGTCATGAAAATAAATAGAAACGTGAAGTTTAAGGCCTTCCCATTAGAATACCAAGGCACATTTATTTTCGTGGAAATTATACTTTGCTAATGCGTAGTTTACTACTCTGGAAAGATACAGCCTGTTTAGTCAGGAGAAGTTTCCCGCTGCTAGTGTGTGTTTGTTCTATGGATCCTTATTCATCAAAGAACTGAAAAATGTGTGCTTCCTGAGCTGCCATTTAAACATAAGAGCTTTAAAAAATATATATACATTACTCCCCCTAGCACCCTCAGCTTTGCTGTACCTACAGCTGATTGAACCTGTCGAGTCTGGGTTTGGTTCAACTCGAGCTGAACATAGCCACATCAAAGCCGCTGCACCTCCGCATGGAAAGGGCCCATCTTGCGCAGAGGTAACGAGTGAAAAGGCGCTGATCGTGCACGTTACATCAGCCTTAACGCCAATATATTCATGTCATGGGGGAAAGACAGCCTTGGGAACAGCTATTGCCGCATCGCTCATAGGAGCAAGTGACAGCTAGCTAGCGCTTCTACATCTGAATCCTAGCAAGTGAGTAACATAAACCAGTTTAGGGCCTAAACATGAGACTAGCATTTTCAAGCAATTTCACAGATGAAGCTGTTTTCCTTTCCGCAGAAACACCACTTGTTCTTACACCAGCTGACACACCCGCGCAGCAAGGGTTAATACCACTAATCAGCTCTCTGCCAAGCTAGAAAATGCGCAAGGCTACGCTCTCCCTTGCTCCTTGAAGACTGCACGATTCAGCGCCTTATCTGCCAGCCCCAGCGCCGCCGCCCCAGCCGTCAGGCTGAAGTTAGCCCTGCCTCCTCGGCTGTCCAGGGCCAGACCGCTACCCTTGCCATTTGCAGAGTCCCTCTGGAACTGGTCACAAGGCAGAGGCTTAATGTTTTTATTAGTGTATGCAAAGATGAGAAGTTCTGACAAGGGAAGTACCAAACTCAGCCTTTTCCTCCCCAGAAGATGGAAGTGATTGCGTAAGCTCCCCCGCCCCTTCTAAACGGAGCAAGAATATTTAAGGACATTTAAGAATTTTTCAACTTCCTCCTTTTCAGTATTGACACCAGTGGCCACCATGATTACTGTTTACCAGTGCGCACACAGTTAGCTTTTAAAGGTTAGCCATCCTTCCCAAAAAGAGGGAAAAAACAGTAAAACAGCTGTGCAATGATTAATTCCAATTTCTGGGGGTGAGGAGGAGGAAAGGTGTGGAGGCTCAGCAGATGGCTTACCTAGCACTGGGGCAACAGCGGAGCGATGTGGTATCAGACAGGGCATCAGACCAGAGCTCCAGCCCAGATCTTCCAGTGAGCGCCTTCTCTGTGATGTGCAAATTGTTTCAACCAGTTTCTCTACAGGGTGGAGAAATAAATCTCTATTCTTTTCATTCTAGCACTATGAGATCATATTATTATTATTAAAACGGGGCATGCCCGTCTCTAGAATTATAGCTCAAGACACTTTTCTTTAAAGATCTGATGCAGCAAATAAAGCAGTTAAGGACCTAGATTACCAATTCCTACTATTGAGGTACTATGTCTCAGTTACACTAAAGGATCTAACTTTGACAGAATGGGAGCGAATCAGTGCAATTCTCATCCAAAAAAGGTGCACTGTCAGCTCTCACAGGAACCAATTCCCAGCTCTGGAATAACTGAAATGGATAGTAAAGGAGGTAGGTCGGTGGAGCTTAATTCCCTGGACAATTTCCAGGTTACAGCTGAAATGCCCAGTGACACCACATCATTTTCACAACTCTTTTACCGTTCCTCAGCATAAGCCGACACCAACCAACCAACCAACCAAAAAGTCCCCATCTAAAAATGTCACCTCATTGCCACTGTGGAAAGGACAAGGTCACACGCTACCAGGTTCCCTTTTAATTATCTAGGGAAAAAAAAAAGGTGAACAAGGTGGGAGGACTGTGTTCAAAAATACTTGAACGAGTTGATGAAAAAATTTGCAGTATGAGTTCCTTAACCAGCTTGCTTTACCTTGAAGAAATTGCTTACCCTCAGTGCTGCCCCAACTGTCAAAATAAGCATATTCATATCCCTCCCAGGTTCAGCTGCAGAATGCTTTGATATCCCTTTGATGAAAGGCTCCGTGTGCTGCTATTCCCCCACCCCACATCTTCTCGTTCACATAGGTTTTTGGATGCTAGTTAATGCTTATTAGAGAAGAAAAAAGCAGAAAGCAAAGAAGTGGGGAGTGCCTTTTATTAAAGCTAATTTCTGAGGCCAACCCACACTTCCCACTGCTGGCTAAAAGACTCTTGATACTATTAACTCTGTTTGCTCAAGCCTGCGTTGGGGTGTTTTCATAGAGTATGAAACCTTTTATCAGATACTGATATAGGCAAGGAGATAACTACTCATAACGTGCAACCTGGGATAGTCTAACTACATTTTACATCTTTCTTATTCCAATTGCAAACAAAAAAATATTTCCTCCATCTTTTTCCTTAAAAAGAATCCATTTTTCAGTCAAAAGCCAATGAGATGATGATATCAAAATGTCAATTAACACTCAGCCAACGTGACCCACATGCAGAGCAGCGAGAGGGAAGGAAGTTCACGCTGACAAAATAAGTGCCTTCAGAAGGCTACTTGACACCTCACTTGGTCAAAGCTTTCTGTAGCAAGGAAAGTTTTGGTTCTTAAAATTTTCCTTTTTTGTTAGAAGCAGGTGCCCTTGAGATTATTCAAGTCAAGCGTAACACAGAAACGCAGCTATGCAATGGTAATAACACGCTAACATATGCTCTTGACCCTGGCCTAGAGAACTACAACCTGACAGATAATATCAGAACTAGCACAAAGCTTGTTATTCAAAACAACTCTTGCGATAGTTAAAACCTTCTTACCGATCAACACTGGGCAAGGCAGATTTTACATCAGCCTGCTTCCTCTTTACAAATAAATATGTAAAAGGCCGGTCTAGCTTTTGATGTGTGTTTAAACACAAAAGTTCTCTAAACAAATATTTTTAACTACTTTGATGTAAAAAATAATGGAAACGATGGATCTGCACACATTAGAAAGTGTTTGGCTAGGAAAGGACTGTTTCACTATCAGCAAACAGCACAGACCAAATTAACCAGATGATTCATTAAAAAAAAAATAAAACCAAGGCTGGCTGGTTTGGAATAGAGAGTTATTTCTCTTTAAGACAAACATGCATTTTTCAATGTGAGCTCTGCATTGTGGGCTTCAGCCAGTCTCAGACCTACAGATATTTCAGAGGAGTTCAAAGAAGCTCCGAAAACAAAAAAATCCAACATAACAAACAAACCCAAAGGAAAAAAAATGAACCAAAGAAATTGTTTTTGTGCTTCAATAGCAGTTTCAGAAGAGAACAGAGCCTTAAATATTTATTACTTTTAACAGAAAGGTATGCTAATGCTGCTTAGAAGCAAATTGTTAATAGAAAGCCATAGGCAAGACTTGCAAACTGCTCATTTTACTCTAGCTCAGTTTCCAGCTTCTTTTTTTTTCCCCGTAAACCTGATTTAGGAAATCAGGTTTGTGGTTCAAGAGCATGTCAGACCACACCTCTGCCAGTCATCTGCATGCAGGTGGATTGCTGATAAAGAAAAACGCAAAGACTGAGAAGACAACCTTGGGCTTAAAGTACAGAGACATACGGTAACAATACAGCCTGGATGTCAGACCATCACGTAAAGCACCCATAAGGTTTGCAAAAGGGAAACTTTTATAATAGTCCTGCTGCACAGACAAAAGAAAGAACAGTTTTGAGCAGTGACACCATCTAAAATACAGAAATGACCACGTTTTCAAACTAACTGACTAACTGCATTTCTGAGAGTATCCAAGAGACAACTTTTTAAAGTAACTAAGCTCTACATACAGCTACAAAAAGCCTAGGAACCTCACAAATCAGGAATTACAGTAAGAATCACGCAACTACGCACTTTTGAGAAAGTGCACTTGTATTTGTTCTGACTTTCTAGGCTCTAACACCTTCAATCGATCTAGCCCTACATTTCTTATTGTTACAAGATCACTGTTTTAAAAGGAGGATGTTCCCATGCTATCAGTGAGGTGATGGGAAACAGCATTGTAAGTAACGTAACAAAGTATCCTAAAGGAAAAATCAAGTGTTCTCAGCTACATAGACCATGATTTAATCTACCCAAGCCTCCTATAAATGTATGACATTCATTTGTAAGGGTGCATGCAAGTATGTTATTCAGTTAAGATTAAAACTAAATTGTAATTATAAGGTTGAACTGTATATAACAACAGTATGTGACGATACAAACTATATGTGGTTGCCCTCTGGTTTCTAACACTTGAGTTAAATGGATTTGGAGAGGAGAAAGGCAAGACGGGAAGCTTCAGAATCCAAAACTGTTAGCAGTGATAGTTTGGGGCGTACTTGCTCAAGACCATCCACAGTTTTCACAGATACAATCAGCGTGTTTGCCAGTTTGCAAAAGCAAGCGTAAGGTCTTTTTCCTAACTGGAATGAAATTAAAAGAAGTAACTGAAGTGATTTTGTAAACCCAGCATGTCTGTTACTGCAAAATCACCCAAACCTCTCCTGTAGGTATCTGTTCCAACCACGAACATCATGGGAAATTCACAAAGGTCCAAGCAAAAGCAAAGTAGAAATAATGGAAAGTTAAAACTGCAGTCTAGAATATGTGCTTGTACCACTTTTTAACAGTTTATTCGCTGTAAGCACTTAAAGAAGCCATCCCGAAAACATACGCTAAAACTTTAACATAAACTATTAAATGATTCTATCTTAATTACTCTTATTTTTCTGATAAATACTTAATTAAACATCCTTATACCTCTCGTAAGTCCAACAAAAAGGTGCTTTTTACTCCCTTCCTGAGCCCATACAAAAGACAACAGTAAACATACCTCAGGCTATTCTTCCTCCAAACCCAGGTTCATTTGCAGCCTCGGTTTTGCGTGTTACTAGGAAAGACCTTTTTGCAGAGCCTGAAGATTGGTAAGCGTTAGCAACCTTATTGCAAAGCACTGTGAGAAACATCACGCAAATAGGCTGAAAGAAAAAAAAGAAAATGTCTTCTAGCAGGCATGCAGAATCTTTTTGATTTATTGCAAAAGCAGAAGTTGTTTATAGCAGAAAGATGCCGTTCAGCTGACAGTGTCTTGCTGTCAACTGCCGACTTGCTAACTCTCATAAGGACCTGTGTTACACTACCAACTCTAACACTTATGGATGTGAGTCTTCTTATTAACCTAAATGAGGATATCCACAGTCGTAAGTATATGTCAGTAAGATTTTTCAAAATTGCTTCACACAAAATGTCTGTGGTCACACTGATTCTGAGAGAATGATGAAAGAAAATTGCTCATAATTTTATTTTAAACATTTTAAAAAGATAAGCATACAAGTTACAAAAGCAGTATTAAAAAGCACTGTGCAATTAAAAATTACCTCCCTCTTAAAATAAGAAATAGCTTGGGTATCGCTAACACATGAAAAACAGTCCTTGCACACAGTCAAGGCCTGATTTTGAAACATGAATGCATGAAGATGTGTATGCATGTTTACATGTGAACTTTTCCCAATAGTAATGTTTGCACATCCAGGTGACTGCATATATAAAACCAATCTTCATTCTTCCAAAGACTGAATGCATGATCACTTGTATCCACAATTCGGGTTAGAAATACAGGTTCATATCAAAACTGCACAAGCACAAACTACAGTTATTTTGAAACCCCACTGAAAAAGTGAGCCTCATATTAGCAGCAACATTAAATCCTGGTCAAAGATTTATTTGAAGTAACCTCAGTTCGCCTTACTGTTGCAAAGATTATCTGAATAAACCATGAACTTCCTAACACAGAGAGAGAAAGGATTAATTTTTACTAAAATAAACTAAGTGTTCAGAAACAAGCAAAACACTGAAAAACTGCAGCTGCTAACAGATCACGAAAGTGGTTTTAACTTTTGCTGTCATCAGCTGATGCGATATTTTAATAGTACTAAAACATACATAGATCTAAAATTTTGCTTTTATAAGAGATTTTTCTTTCTATAAATACTACACTGGTTTGTACAATATTTATGTCTAATTCCTAAAGACTTAACAGCAGTTAACAACAGTTCATTACAGTTCCAAATGACTAAAATACTTAATTAACTAAATTTCTTTAAAAGTTTTATCTAATTTTGACTTTGTATTTTTATGATTTTTCATTATTTTGAATTGCTTCCTACTTTTTGCACATGCTTTCCGAACACAAATTTGGCTGTCTACCCATGCCATCAAGGTAATACTTCAGACTTTATGACTTCTTAAGCCTTCGCAGTTTTAACTTCCTGAGACCACTTTCAACTTCTTTTTTTCTTTTTTGGGTAAGCTTCTCTGAAGACACAAGCTGCAGTTCTAAACAAGATGAAGGCATCACAGGCAATTCTTCAGTGGTTGTGCTTAGCTCATTTTTGTTCGTCTGCGCTATATTGTTCCTCACAGAAAGAGGCCAGGAGAGGTTTTTTCCCAAAGTTAGTGACTCCTCATCAGATGCAGCCTTTGTCAAGTCTTCTTTAGAAAACAACCTGGAATTAAGTGGGATCCTCTCCTCCAGGAATGGACATAAACAATCATCATCACGCTTACTCATTTCTGTATTGCTAGGAATTAAAGGAGCCCCTTCAGAGGATAGTTTTTTTAAATGCTCTAATTTTTCTTCTGAACCACAGCTCTTTTGTTGAGCCTGTGCTTTGGTCACTTTTTGACTTTGTTTTGGTCCTAGCAGTGCTGACTCAGAGCTACAAGGAAGGTTCTCGCTTAGAGGACTCGACTTCAACCACTCCACAGAGTGAGGTTTTTGCTGGCTGCTAACATCATCTGGCTGTCTCCGATTAACATAATTTTCCAGCTCTAAAACAGGAAGCTCCAAGTTGCTTTCAGCTGTATTTATGCAGTCCTTTAGCAGTCCTGTACTCCTACATTTCACTTCAGATTGAGGACTCAGAGAAGTTTGACGGTCGTTCTTTCTGTTCCCTGTCTGCGAGTCCGCTGAGCCAAGATACACTTTCTTGGAGTCCTTGCTGATTTGCGGTTTGCTTGTGCTACTTTTCCTTGGTTTTGTCCTTTTCACACTGCAATAAAAAGGAATTTTGTTTTTAAATTTTAAAAGAATCTTCACTGCCTTGATCTGCCCTTCTTACAAACTCTGAAACACCACTAGGGCAACCTAGACTGAACGTGGAAAAAAACCCTGTGTATCGTCTTGACAAGCAGTAATGTTTGTCTAGTATGGATAATACCAAGTGTTATCCATCTGATTTTCCAGTGCACTAGGGGAACCCTATTTATTAATGACTAAGCCATGAAGGAGTTCACATTCTATTCCAAGAGGCAGAACTGGATTCATCACAGATGTTAAAGGTCAACACGGCATAAGTATATTGAATTCCTTCCCAAACTGGCTAGATAAAATAGTATTTCATAAGTGCCTAAATGATTTCAAATCATTCCCATATATTCACACGCATAATGTATATCTAAAGAATAGAGGGGGACAGGCGGGGAGAGGCAGCATGTGCGTCTCTGTGTGAGAGTTTCTAATCTCTATTTTAGAACGTTCCTCTGGAATTTTTCCCAGGACATTTCAAAGCATTACTTTAAGTTAACCACTACTCATCTAGTATCAAGCCCGTTCATCTGGGAAGGACTTAGGTAATGCAAGCAGATTATATTCTAAAAGGAATTGTACAGGAAAATGGGATCACAAGGGGCCTGATGGAGTGTCAGTACATTAACACTCCTCAGCAGCATCTACAAATCCAGGTTTCACATAGGCTGGAAGATGAACTTTATGCACAAGTACTGAAGCTGCCTATGTAAGATTTTGTGTCTAAAGATATTACTATAGATCGTCCCATGCTGAGACTGTTTTCTGCTGCTCTGCTGATGCCAAGCAGTTCCCAGGTCAGCGTGTCTAACTCTTCAGAAAGCGGGCTCTTCCAAAATAGGTAGAGCTGGCATACCTCCAAATCTAATCTCGTTTCTAAAAACAACACAGATGAGACAACATGGGTAAAAAGAAAAGTTGCCAGGGTTCACAGCAAATTTCACAGTTGATTTGGGGCTACTGGCAGCTTGTGCAAGAAAGAATGGCATCCTGGTACAGCAGAGGACCAGTAAAATGCTCAGCTGACCAACTAACCCTCCCCATCCGCTACACCAGGGACACTCTTTAATTGTGACCAAAGATCCAGACTACTATCGTGGTACATTGCAGGCTCTCAAAATGAACAAAAAAATATATTTGCAAAGTGTTTTTCACCAGATTCAAACATCACATATTTATTTTGGCTCAGAGCTTCATTCAAGGAAAAAACCACGCTGTTTTGACTCTGCCTAGCGCTATGTGAGATATCTATGTGGGTTGTAATAGCTTTTTTCACCCCGTACAAAACAACATCGATCATTTTATGTGCTTATCCACACTAGAGTAGTCGTCTCCTAGTAATTTAAAATAATCTTTTGTAAAGGAGTTTATATTATTTGAAATTTTATCACATAGGCTAGATTCTATTTACCCAAATTTTACCAGATTATAGATTTAACACCTTAGAAAGAATAGTGACATACATTTCTTTCAAGATGTCTTGCTTTATTTGTTCATTCAGACTAATCTTAAGCTTCTTGTTCTCAGCAGATTCAGCAAAATATTCAGACATCCCATTGGAAAGTTCTTCCTTCTGCTCCAAAAGAAGAAACAGGTTTAAAACGTGACACATCAAACTATGATTATTCAACATAAAACTCCATTTCTAATACTGACTTACAGATGTTCTTTATTATTTTGATCTGAGCAGTCTAAGAGAAGCAGAATTATTTTTAATCTTCTAATATTTGGGAGTCTAGTCAGTTCCCTCCCCTTTCAGAGTCCCAACGAACATACTTCATATGCTAAAATATACCGCAAACAAACAAGACTGTAATGTAAAGGATGTAGCTTTCCAAACCGTCTGAGGAAACTGTTGGCAAATATTTGACATCTTTGTGGCTCAAACTGTGACAAATGCCAGGAATCTCTCTTGCAGACAGGAGCATGTTTGTCAGGTTTTTTTTCTGAAGAGACTGACTGGCGCAGTGGTCTATACACTTATTCTCAGAAGAATTCCCATAATTTTCCATACTTACAAACAAATATACAGAGTGTTATTGGCTCATTTAAGAAGGCAAGGGTTAAAACTTTTAATACTAACATTCAAACGCTCACAGCTTGTAGCGGTTGGCTACCACGGGACAACAGGGGAATTCTTTCTGGTCTCAGCTAACAGCAGCACCATGGTTTTATATAATGCGAGATTGGGGCGAGAGGGAGGGAAGGAAAATGCTCTTTTTCTTCAAGCTGTGAGCATTTCCTTTCACAATGAAACAATCTCAGTGAGAGAAGGGCCATTTGCTGACTTCACTCTTAACTACCACATACTTCAAAAAAGTACTAGCTCGGAGGCTATGGAGGGGAGAGAAAAAAACGTGGCAAAGTCAAGAAGAGAAGAAGCTTTGTGCATCTCCTTTTCTTTGATCGCATTTTTCTTCAGCAGCCTGCACGATGCAACTTCTGATTGGGGCTCATCAAATGTAGGGAGCGCTTATTTATACTGTTTCTTGCTCAGCACTGTGAAGCTAGCGCACTGGAGCCAGGCGGTACGAAAGAACTGAAGAAAGCAGAGAAAGACTGCGGAGGCGCAAAGCCAAAGCATGTACATGACCGCTGCCTGGAACACCCCTTAGGAACCTGTCACTTACAGGGGATTAAGTCCTGCCCATTTTTATTTTTATTTCTATTTTAAAGGAGAGGGGGTAAAACCTCACCGCTCTTTCCAGAAGAATAAGCCAGTGAAAACAACTTCCT